GTAGACATGGTGTAACATTGGTTTTGCTTTGTTTCACAGAACTAATCGTTGCCTGGGTTGCGTACGTATATGTGGGGCGGAGCTATCAAAATAGGGGCAAGCCCCTTTTGGGGTAGGGGCGTGTTTGTTTTGGTGATTTCAAATATCAACATTGGCTACCAGAAATCACTTACTCTGCCTTTAATGACATGCTTTTGCATCCTTTTAAAGGCTTAAAAGTTCTAGACTCCATTATTAATAATTGCATGTAAAAGAGCGACCATCTACATTATAGAAACATTATAGAAAGTCAGGTTTGGAGCAACATGAGGATGAGTAAATGATGACAAAATGTTCATTTTGGAGGGGTGAAATATTTCTTGAAGGGCTAGACTCTGCTGTTCATGATCAAACTCTGTTATTGACGTCATTGACAGGTCAAAGGTTTTGACTCACATAGCTGCCAGTATGGTGACGGAACTCCAGGCCAAAGTACTCTTTCTCCAGCAGCTTTAGATGACCACACACCTTATTGAAGAAATCAGAGCCCAGAATCTTTCTCTGTGGGAAGATGAAAAAGAATAAATCACAATACAGGGAAGGAAACGCTTTATACATCTTACATGTCATTTCAAAATTGATACTCGTCTCAGTGCTGCTTGTATCAATGTTCATTTTGAGTGATGTGACTGCAGTGTCACTGTGAAATTACTCCTCAGATTAGCTTCTTTCTTCCATCTCTATTACTTGATGCGGGTGGTAATGAGATGGTGATGTGATTTGAGCAGAATGTGATTCTTAGAGCAACTTTCTCTGGTAATTGAATCTGCAGCAACTGAACTCCTCAAACAGAATTGGGAAAGTCAGATGCTCACTGAGTCAGCCTGAAAATACAGGGTTGCTATCTGATGAGTGTGTTTGTGGGCACATATGTGTGTGAGGATGTGTTCTTGAACCCTGTATTTACTGTGACAGCTGGGCATAGAACCTCCCCATTATCTTGTCAAAGACAAGGAACATGAGAAGAAGATAGAGGGATAAAGTCTGGAACAAGCATGAGATAGAGAGGTTGAAGCACATACCACAGTACAAAGATAGATCTGTGACTCTCATGGCAGGGTAAATTTATGCCAAAATATACAGACTGTGTAAATACTTGTGAGGACATAATGGATGCTTTCTTGCACTGTTTATTCAGAACAAATAGGATCTTTAACAGTGAATCATCATTGATCATACACTTTAATTCAGTGCTAGCTTTACTTTGAGTCCAGGGAATACAATCTACATCAAAATACTCAACATTTTTTACAGAAAATGTGAGTGGTGCTTGTCTGTGCAAAAGCTGACACCATGATGACAGGTAGCAGCGTTATTTTAGTATTACTTATATACCAGTATAGTATTTATTAATAGTTTGAATGAGCTTTTATTGTTATATTTTCAGTTTTCATTTTGTTTAATTTAGGTTTTAGTCATTTTGTTATGTGTTTTTGCCATTTTTATTAGTTTGAATAGACTAAATATGCCTTAGTTTATTTTATTTTTTTTAGGAATTTTAATACTTCGACTTACTGTATTTTATTGCAAGGCAACATTTCTAATTTTCTAGTTTCTAAAAAGTTTTTTAAGTGTAAGTTTTATCTTCTAACATATAGATTTGTTTCTTTTTAGGCTATTAAAACAAGTGAAAACTAGATAATTTCTCTTTTAATGTAAATTAATTTCATTTTCCACCTGTTTTTGAGTTAATCCCTGTGGATGAGAAAAAAAAAGATGCTAAAACCAGACAATAAGTCTTAGTTGGTTTAAGCTGGTCAATGGTGTTCAGTTGGTTTAACTTAATTGGTCAGCTGGTCTAGCTAAGCCCCCTCTGAAACCAGCCTGATCTGGCTGGAAGACCATCTAAAACCAGCCAACTAGCTTATGCTGGTTTCCATTGGTTCTTTCAGTAGGTATTGCTTAGGCTTAAACAAGTAATAATACTGCTCTCCTCCACAAACCACACAATCTGAGGTGTCATTAATTTCGATATATACTACTTAGGTGTAGGAATAAAAAATAAAAAAAACCCTAACCTAACCTTTAAAATAATAATAGCAAGCACCACTAAATATGCTGAAATTACATTTTCTTGACCAAGTATCGATCGAAAAAACAGATCATCTCTCTACAACCTCTTTCTCTCTGATTTGTATTTTTCACTGCCTCTTTACTAATTGCCTGTTTTGCCTGAGGATGTAGGGGAATGCAGGCGTGCTCTCTGGAATGAGGCCATGCAGGACAAGCTTCTGTTCAGTGCTGGCCACGATATTTACCCCTATTCAGACACACACATGCCTCACGGCTACTAACTAACTCACTCACTCTCTCTTTTTTTCTATCTCCCCACCCCCCTGATTTTATATCTCACCTGCTTTTTCTGACTGGTAGGACAAGGCTGTGCTGTGTAAAAGCGGTAAAAACCCCCAGGCATGTACATACACACACAGCATCCCCCATGAAGCAGAAGCAGCAAGCGGATAATGGGACATGAAATGATGCTCCTTTACAAGCAAAACACAGCTGGACCAAAAGTAGGAGATATATATAATGAATTACTTCTTAAATGAGGAAATTTTGATTTAATGTAAATAAGTGTACAATGTAGAAATAAGTGATTAAACTTCACAATTATGAATTGCCCTTGTTATCAGCTACACCATACATTTTAAAGAAACTCTTATGCTTAAGTGGTTATTTAATACAGATAGGAAAAGTAACATTACAAAATGTAATTATGGGGTAGGGTAGACTTGTTGTCACACTTTTTACTTCACTGAATATTTCTGCACCAAAAAAAAAACAGTTCACTGAACATATTCTGCCCTTTTTTTTTGAACAATCTTATCATACACAAGTGAAAAAGACAACGTACATATTTGGGCAACAAGTAAATATGTATGTGACAACTTGCCTCAACCTGGCATTTATGAAAACCACTGCTATAAAACAAGCATTATAGGATACCCATATCCCCCGCTATATATAAACATAAATATATAGTTCAGTCATGGAACTCTAGATGGTGCATTCTGATGGAGTGTTAACGTAACTGATGATATTCAGAGAGTTAAACCACTTGGCACAAGCTGATTGGTTAATGCTGCATATGCAGCCAATGAGCTTACTGCCTTGCATTTATATGGCTGGCTAGCATTCACTAGTGATTCCTGCAGCGTGCTTTCAGAGTTTCTCTGAAACCCATATGAAACATATGCATATGTAAGCTATTTTTGTGCATTTTTAATTACGATATTTGTTTCCTAAATTATGTTACCGTTTGCATTAATTGTTTTGAAGTTTATTTTTTACCTAATAGCATGGCATGTTGTTGTAGTGGGTTGGAAAAAATGAATGAGTATAAAATGCATTTGTGTATTTAAAAAAAAAAACACCATTTAAAAAGTTATATGCTATATGTGTAACATTAATTTTTCTGTTGGTTAAATTGATTATTTTCTGCATTTTCATTCATCAATTCATCGTTATCTTCCTTGTGAGGAAAAGAATGTAGTGTTGTTGTGTTATGCCGCCTGTGAAGGGCGCTTAGCGCTGTCAATTCAAGGTATTGCACTGGGCGAGTCAGAATCAATTAAACATTGCCAAAGACTGCAGCCAGTATCTCATAATCATATCTTCTTATTATTCTACAGTGCTGGCAAGTGTTGTACATACAACTTACACACTCAGGCGTCCCACACTTGAGGCGGGAAACATTGTCGTGAATGATTGATTGATTTCCCTGGGAAATAACCATGTTTTTTTTTTTTTTTTTTTTGTAGTCAAGACTTTCACATTTGCTCTTATACAGAATGTGACAACTAGCCTAGTCTTCCGTGTATTATATAAGGGCTATATTATTTGTAGCATGAAAACATGACAGTAAAATCTATTAACTTCTCCGTTTACGAGAAGCTACTGTACAACAGTGAGTATAGATCTCTAATGGTGAAGGTAGGAAATTCTAGTTCACAGAAATCACGTCAGCTGCAACTCCTAATATATGCCAGGAGGTGGCAGTATTTCCTAGTGAATTCCAAAGCAACGACTCTGGTAAAACAAATACTGTAACTGTTTCATGTCTGCAATTAGCGTATACAACTGTGCGATGAGAGATTAAACAATAAATAATAACATGTCAGCCTCTCAAAAAGCGTCACACATCAGAAGTGTTTCTCTCGTCCTCACCTATTGTGCTCTGTATTCATGGGCAGGTGAATGTAATCTCTTGTTTTGCGGCGGAGCGGAACCTGTAAGGGGAGCTGAAGCCGGAGCTCTGCTGACCAGCTGCTACTGTTCCATCACACATCATCATCATCACCGCCGGCCCTGTTTGATTTTCCGAGCACCTGTCGCTCTGTGTGTTTTCAACCGTGTTTTCTGAGGCTCATGTACGAGAGGTAATCTGTCTCTACGATTACCTTAACCTGTATGCTACAACATCTGGAGAAATGCTGATTTCTGCTATGATTTTTACACACATTTTTCATCAGTTGTAAAAAGTTGTAGCGTAAGTTATAGCTTTACAAATTAATAAAAAGTAATAACCCCTAAAGCTGAAAATTTAGAACAGCTAAACCAAACAGTAGGCCACAAGGAACGGTCTCTCTCAACGTTATGAAAAAGTTACTTGGTCTATAATAATGTTCTCAAAATATTAGCACAAAAACATTTTTATACATTATATCTGGAACTTTTTTTCTGACTTATTTTTTTTTTTACCCCTATTCAGACACACACATGCCTCACGGCTACTAACTAACTCACTCACTCTCTCTTTTTTTCTATCTCCCCACCCCCCTGATTTTATATCTCACCTGCTTTTTCTGACTGGTAGGACAAGGCTGTGCTGTGTAAAAGCGGTAAAAACCCCCAGGCATGTACATACACACACAGCATCCCCCATGAAGCAGAAGCAGCAAGCGGATAATGGGACATGAAATGATGCTCCTTTACAAGCAAAACACAGCTGGACCAAAAGTAGGAGATATATATAATGAATTACTTCTTAAATGAGGAAATTTTGATTTAATGTAAACAAGTGTACAATGTAGAAATAAGTGATTAAACTTCACAATTATGAATTGCCCTTGTTATCAGCTACACCATACATTTTAAAGAAACTCTTATGCTTAAGTGGTTATTTAATACAGATAGGAAAAGTAACATTACAAAATGTAATTATGGGGTAGGGTAGACTTGTTGTCACACTTTTTACTTCACTGAATATTTCTGCACCAAAAAAAAAACAGTTCACTGAACATATTCTGCCCTTTTTTTTTGAACAATCTTATCATACACAAGTGAAAAAGACAACGTACATATTTGGGCAACAAGTAAATATGTATGTGACAACTTGCCTCAACCTGGCATTTATGAAAACCACTGCTATAAAACAAGCATTATAGGATACCCATATCCCCCTGTGACAACTTGCCCCGGCCTGTATATATATATATATATATGATTTCTCACCTCCACCTCGAAAACTCTCTCGCTGTCGTCTAAAAAGATGACGCGTAATCGCAGTTTCTCATTCTTGTTCTTCTTCCGCACAGCTGTCCTATTGACAGGTGTCTTCAGCAGCTCGAACTTATCCCCCATCTTCTGTGCGTCTGTTTAGGGTTTAAGCGCCACACTTTTCTTTTAAATAAAGGACAGAGGGTCCATAATGTGTGATACTATCCGTTTGATGTTTTAGTGAGTGAGTTGCGCGCGGCGGTCTCGTGACGAGTGTTCACGCATCCTGTTCTTAAACTGAGCAGCATCAGCAGCACTACTGGATCTGATCTCAACCCTGAGCATCAAGCTACACAATAAACACAAGTCTCTAACTCTACAACGCGCAGAATCAACGGTTTTATGTTGTTTACAAAATATCTGGCGTAAAATACTTAATTTTGTCAATGTATTCATCATTGCAGACGCTGAATAAAGTCTTAGAAAAGCAGACGAAAATGCACCACATCATTTTATATTACGATAATATATTTTGTATATGGGACAAAAATGTATATACTGCCAGGAAAAAAATTCAAAAATTGGGATATATATATATATATATATTAGAGCTAAACCAAACAGTAGGCCACAAGGAACGGTCTCTCTCAACGTTATGAAAAAGTTACTTGGTCTATAATAATGTTCTCAAAATATTAGCACAAAAACATTTTTATACATTATATCTGGAACTTTTTTTCTGAAATATTTTAGTTGGATGTTGTTCTTATTTTTTTTTATTTTCATTTTTTAATGTTATGTATTAGTTTTAGATGTCTTAAGAGAACTTTCAAAAGTAATATTCCCATAATGTTTGCAAAATTATAAAATAGAACATTCCCATACTGTTGCCTCTAATGTTCACATAACTAAGAAAAGCATTTTTAAAAAACATTTAAAAAATATGGGTGTTTGAAACGTTCAGATAGCGGTCAGCAATAACATTTTCCTAACTCAATGGGAACCTTAGCAAAACACATTTTTGTTAGCTGGGACCTGGTAGGTTAACTCATATGACAACTATGAATGCTTTTTAAATTTAGCCGTTTTGTATGTTAGTTTCAAACACCTATTTCACATGCCCTGTCTTTGAGGCATGCTGTCACAAAAAAAATGTGTAGATTTTTTTTTCCTGGTCAGAAATGGTGGACATTTTAAATGTCTGTTTGTAGTCAAGATTTTAAAGGGGTAGCCTATTTACACTTGATGACTTGACATTATTTTGATCAGATTGCTGACCAAGTGTAAATGCCCTCCAAGACTCATGCTAGATGTGAATAATGTCTGTAATACAAGTGCATTACATAGGGTTTTTAAAAAATAACCCTATCCTAAAAATGTTCACCAAAGTAAAAAGTGAGTGCTTCACCTATAGCTATCTGTTGATGTGTGTAAATGGCAAATTGTCTCATCCATTTGTTTCTCCCACCATAAACTTTTTATTTCTTGTTATTACTCATTTTCCACTTGAAGGATATAAAAGCACAAATGCCCAGAAAGAGTTACTACAAAATGTCAAGGGTGTCATTTGGAAAATGTCATACACCGCCTGGCATGAGAAGGGTGATATATTTTAAAGCTCTTCTGTTAATTTAGTAAGCAGTCAGTGGTCCTGTGGTTCATCTCACCCTGGGGGTCTGAGAAAAAATTGACACTGGAAAAGGTCTAAACCATCCCAGCCACTTTGCCCTTGATGATTCATTCACCTACACACTCAAATCCATGTTTTAGCCAAACATCTGCCTTAAACTGTCTTCCCATTAGCTAATCCCCTGTGGTTGCTTTTCCCCCCGTTTGCACAGATGTCGTTTAAAGTTTAAGACCTGCATTTTCTTTTGCTTCTGGTGGTTCAGTTTGTGTGGTTTATCATTCTGCCTCTCAAATTTGCAATGGATATTTGACATCAATTATTGACAATAATAATTTTTATGTTAAAGTCAACAGCTACCCTTTGCTTGTAGGTAATGTTGTACAGTACGCATAAAAGCATCTTTTTCCATTTACAGCCTTTCAAAAGTACCAGTGTTTTAATGATATTTCTTTTTTCTTGCCAGAAACATTCACTACCATTCTAAAGTTTGGGATTCATAAACTGGGGTTAATAAATTAATACTTTTATTCAGCAAGGATGCAATTGATTTAAAAATGACAGTGAAAACATTTATAATGCTAAAGCGGAAAAGATAACTACTTTCATATAAAAGCAGTTCTTTTGAACTTTCCGTTCATGAAAGAATCCCGAAAAAATATATCTCGGTTTCCAGAAAAATATTAAGCAGCAAATGTTAATAATAATAAATATTTTTTGAGCTTTGAATCAGCATGTTAGAATGATTTCTGAAGGATTTCTGCTGAAAATTCAGCTTTACCGTCATGGGAATAAATTACATTTTAAAATACAGTTAAAGACAGTTATTTAAATTGTAATAATATTTAACAGTAACACTATTTTTTTTTACTGTATTTTGATCAAATAAATGCTGCTTTTTAAAAAACATTAGATTTTAGACCTTTTGTTCACACACCACTTTATAATGTGATGAGAGAAGCAGGATATTCACATCAAAAATGTAAGGTGAGACTTCAAAATGAAAGATAATAAAGAATGTATATTAGACAAGTAAACAGTGGTGAGTTAGTGAGTTAAAGGGATAGTTCTCCCAAAAATGAAAATACTGTCATTAATTACTCACCCTCATGTCGTTCCGTAACACTATTTTTTTTTACTGTATTTTGATCAAATAAATGCTGCTTTTTAAAAAACATTAGATTTTAGACCTTTTGTTCACACACCACTTTATAATGTGATGAGAGAAGCAGGATATTCACATCAAAAATGTAAGGTGAGACTTCAAAATGAAAGATAATAAAGAATGTATATTAGACAAGTAAACAGTGGTGAGTTAGTGAGTTAAAGGGATAGTTCTCCCAAAAATGAAAATACTGTCATTAATTACTCACCCTCCGTTCGTTCCAAACCCGTAAGACCTTTGTTCATCTTCGGAACTCAAATGAAGATATTTTTGATGAAATTCGAGAGCTTTCTGACCCTGCATAGACAGCAATGCAACTACCATGTTCAAAACCCAGAAAGGTGTAAAGTAAAAAAAAAAATCAGTGGTTCAATTGTAATGTTATGAAGCTACAAGAATACTTTATGTGCGCAAAGAAAACAAAAATTACAACGTTATTCAACAATTTCATCTCTTTCCTGTCAGTCTTCGACCCAGGAGTGTACCACACGTTATTTTTGTTTTCTTTGCGCACATAAAGTATTCTTGTAGCTTCATAACATTACAATTGAACCACTGATTTTTTTTTTTACTTTACACCTTGACCACTGATGTCACATGCACTATTTTAACGATGTCTTTACTACCTTTCTGGGCCTTGAACATGGTAGTTGCATTGCTGTTTATGCAGGGTCAGAAAGCTTTCGAATTTCATCAAAAATATCTTCATTTGCATTCCAAAGAAGAACGAATAACTTATGGGTTTGGAATGACATGAGGGTGAGTATTTAATGACAGAATTTTCATTTTTGGGTGAACTATCCCTTTAAATAAATGATTTATGAGTGAATCATGTTACGTATCTCTTAATGTCCTTCCCTGAAGAAATAAAGCTCATCTATGTATGAATAAGTTCACAAGAAAATTTCCAACTAATGTATATGCAGCCCTCAGGTATGGCACGTCTAACAACAACAAAAAGGATATGAAAGTGTCTTTGAGCTTTTAATAACTTGTTCACTTGTCTCACGAGACAATCCCAATCCTTTTCCAACCCACTCACCCTTCTGGGGTCCATGTCTCATGAGAAGTCGTCCTGTGTCTTCACTCTCCAGCTGATGTCATGACCAAGGACAATGTCAAAGCCTATTAAAATCGTCCACACTGCTGGATCAGACTCCGTCTTTGCTTCATAAAAGAAGGTGTAGAGGTAGAGATAGGGAGAGCAATCCCTTTATCCACACTGAAATGCAATTTAAACCCCTACTGTTTTATACCGTGGAACGAACGTTAATGTGGATTCATTCTCTTTTGATTTTTAAATCTCCTTCTTCTCTTGTGTTTTAAATGATATTACATGTCACAGCTTACACGACTAGACAGAGGAATTCATATGGAGAAACAGAATCTGTTCATTGGTCACTTTGTATGTTAATTGGGATGTTTCCATTGTATGTAATGGTTTGTTTCCTCAAAACTCAGCAGAACAGCAGAACTTGGTGACTTTTAAGAAAATGTTTTAAATAGGTATGCTCTCTCAGACAGAAATGTAAAAAAATGTATTGTCATCAACATAAGACACGTTCTTTCGCAGTATCAATACTACAGAAATGTATACTTTTATTCAGCAAGGATCCAATAAGCTGATCAATAATGGCAGTAAAGACATTCATAATTGCAAATAAATGCTGTTCTCTTGAATTTTCTATTGATCAAAGAATCCTGAAAACAAAATGTATAACAGTTTCCGCAAAAATATTAACCATCATGACTGTTTTCAACATTGATGATAATAAGAAATGTTATTGAGCAAATCAGCATATTACAATTCTGACAAATCATGTGACACTGAAGACTGGAGTAATGGCTGCTAAAAATTCAGCTTTGCGTCACAGGAAAAAAAAAAACTTTTAAAACGTAGAAAACGGTTCCATTTCCATTTGTGGTTATTGGTAATGTATGATGTTGTCCATTATATGGAGGACACTATAATCTGCCTCGAGGATGTGGAGTGTGTTTGCATAAGATCTGTCTCAGTCAGTCTCACGCTTATCTGAAGTGCAGGTCTGTGTTGATGGCAACAAGAAACAGAGAGTCGAGTACCTGCTGAAAGCTAAACTTGTGGCAGGATACTCCTGAGATGATTAATGGCTTTGCTTATGATTTCATTAATCTATTAATACCACTGATAAGTTTCCTGCTGCAGAGAGAGAAGGTCAGTGTCAGAATAAATCTGGACACTCATTAACCCCTCAAGCCAAACCTCTGATCTTCAGAAAGGTCTGCAAAGAGAGGCAAGAGAAATGGCATCTTGGCTAGAAAGAATGCTTTTAAAGAAATAGTCTGATCTTCTCAATGAATGGTTGATCCAGT